TGTAGCTGTGCTTAATTTTAGAAGTGTAGACAAAGCCTATGTTTACATGAAGGGGCTCTGCTAATAGAGCTCTACTGGCAAAACACTTGTAGGGTAGGCAAGACCACATCTTACATAACGCACGTCATTTTGTATCCCTGGCAGATTTTTCCCACGTCCCAGGTAGCTAGTTCAGAGTGCTACAGAACCCTCAGAGCAAAAAAGGCAACCAACACAAATACAGGCAAGCAGCGAGATTTTACCAGGGTGGGTGCTCGGCATCCACTGGCAGCCCCATAGATCAGCTTCTCCCCTTTCCCCATAGCCGTACTGCTTGCTGGTGGGCCCTGGTAACCAGCTCCTTCCCCTCTACTCCCAGTGCCTCCTGCCTGCTACTGATCAGCTGTTCAGAAGCATTCAGGAGGCACTGGGGGGACAGAGGAGCAGAGATGGGGGGGAACTTGGGGGAAGAGTGGAGTGCGGGGAGGGGCCTGAGGTGGAGCAGGGAGTGCCTCCCAGGAACTGGGGAAATCTGCACCTTTGCAATCAGGCTCCACTGCTCACAGAAGTTAGCAGTGTCATCTCTAGCAATAAACCGCTCCTGTTTGCTCGACACCTGTCACTGGTGACCAATTCCCTGGGCTCCTGCCAGGCCATTTATATCCACTACAGATTCCTCAAAGATATGGTGTCTTAAAGAGACAGTCTGTTTTTCATTTGCACTTTTTTCACTATATAATAACAAAAGAAACATACTTACTTTAGGTAGAAACCACACTAGATGGAGTGTAGATCACTTTCTGTGGGTGGAGATTAGAGGTAAAAAATAAATAATATCAATGGAATATTTCTTTGAGCAGTTTTGTGCTATGACTGCATTTGTCCATGTTTAATTGAGATAAATGCACTTCAAAATTCAGTCTTCTATTAATGCAGTCCAGGAAACACCCCTACTCATCTAGCCCCATGCTACATACATTTGGTCTCTTTATGCTACTACTATCCCTTGAACTGTCTATCTTCCTGTACCTGGATGCCTTCCTAGAGTTCCTGTCCAAGTTGGGACTCTGGGCAGGAAGAAAAGACCTTGGAAGGTGTTTGTCTCTTGCTCCCATATCTGGTGAAACCCTCTTGAGAAAAGTATTTAATGCATTTCCTTGTGTCCCTGTGGGAGCAGCTCTGTGTCTTGGGCTTGAGAAGTGTTCCTGAGGTTCCTTGCTAAAATGGTTGCTTCTAACCTGGAGAGAGAAACTCTGCGACACTGTTGCTCTATATCCTGCGCAATTTTCCTCAGCTGCCCACCTGGCATGATTTATATTGAGACATTGGGAAATGGTGCCTTCCTCCTATATTGCACCTTCTCCTGAGGGAGAACAGCTGGGATTGTTAGAGCCCTGGGTGCAGACCATGGTGCTGAGGGGACTTGACTCTATTAGGTTTTGTACACCCATCCTGATCCATGTGAGATAGGGCACACTTTATACATTGCAAATAAGCCAATAGCTTTGCTTTCCTGGGAGGAGGGGAAGCGTGCGTGGAAGTCTGTGTTTGGGGGAGGAGT